AAAGGAAGCAACTTAGCACCTTGGTCTTCCAAACCACTTCACAACCAACCTTAATACCACTAAACTAAGAGGTTTTATGGAGGAAATCCAAGTTTAATCGGTTAAATTGTTTGATTGGAGCAAGAAATGAAGAAGTAAGATGAAAACTTTCCTTTCTTTTGTGACAGCCCCACCTCCCCCTAAGGCAAACCAAAGGGTTCGGCGGACCGCCTGCCCAGCTCTCGCCGGGACTCAGTCGTTCACTCACACAAATCATAAATAGAACCACAAGAAAAAAAAAACAAAACGAGGATCCAAAATTTAAAATAAAACTTATATACATAGATATCTCAGAAGGAAGTACAACCGTCAACAAACAGAGGTTCTCAATTCACCATACAACCAGCCCGTGCTAAGCACTAGAGCGAGAACCATTACAAAAGAAAACCAAGAGCTAGACCCAGCTAGTCTATACCGGCTCTCGTCCTTACTTGCCTTCCCCTGTTAAGGAAAACAAACTAAAGGGGTGAGCTATAAGCTCAGTGAGGTTCCGAACACATAGGCAACAAGAAGTTCAATGCATTCATTACATGTTACCAATAATTCAAATACAAAAGAAAGCGATAAACACCTTCATTAAAAGGATACGTGCTCACAAGGAGCCATTCGTTCATTCATTCGTTCGTTCATTCTCCCTTCGTTCCCTCATACCTTCAATCATTTGAAAATGCATTTGTATATAAGTAAAACCCTCATTCATTCATTCGTTCATTCATTCATTCATTCATTCACCAGGCTCCACCAACCTCCACCAACCTACAAGGTAATACTCGAGTATACGAAAACGTTCACCCAGGTCCCTAATCGCCCGACCGAGTCCGCTTCTGGCTCGAGACGACCGGTAACAAGGGGCAGTGGCCAGTTCAGCCAAAAGGCTTACATTCATGCGCAATTAACATTTCAATCATTCAATCATTGAAAATTTCACAATCATTTAGGCCAAGTGCGATAAAGTACACACTTGCCTCGAAAACTCGTTTTGGCAATCATTGAAAACATTTAACATGTTATCAATCACTCATACAAGCCATATAATCATGAAACATAACAAGCAAGGAACACTCACCTATACACGCAAAATAACGTCCATTTCTCAATCACCAATGAAACCTAAAAGTAAACAAAGAACACATTACAATCCATCTAGCATGATTTGGATGAAAACAAGGATTACCCGACTACCCGCGAGTAAACGTATAAAATGACTTTTAAAGTGTCAATAGTGCATATGGATCCGTGGACGGAAATTACTAGGGTTTATAAACCAACCGTGAAACCAAACTCAAAAGGTTATGAAATTTCCGGCAGAAAACACTTTAACCAACGACAAATCGAAAACCAATAAGGTAAGCTAAGAAGTATTGATTCCAGAATCATTTATGTAGCTCAAAATCAATAGACTATATGCCTTGATGAAAATCATGAAAAGGTGGCAAAACTGTCTCACTTTCACTCTTAAAACTTCACTTAAAAGTTATTCATTTGTGGCCAAGAGAACCCTAGGTCAACCTCTATATTTTGGTAAACAGTAAGTAAACGTTTGGAATTTCAACCCAAAGAGGTATTAGGTTTTAGAATGGTAAAATGATCATTTTATTTGCCAAGCGAAAATATACAGGTTCAAATAGAAATTTAGCCCTCGGCCACCTTTTGAAAGAGCCGGTAACATTTTCAGTAAATACGTCCAATTCGTCACAAAATACATTCGCAAAATTACTTTAACTTGCTCACATTACAAGAAGATAAACGGACGGCATGTCCTTTGTGTTTACCTATTTTCCAGCCATTAATGGCTTCATTATTTTCCTCAAAACAGTCCCAACATCTATATAGAATAATCTCATGTCCAAAAGCCATTCACTAGGCTTAAAGTCATATAAATACAAAAATAAATACAAAAATCAAGCTAGAAACATTTCCGGATAAAAACAGTTTTTGACACCATTTTGTGGTTTTGGCACCATTGGCGCTACGATTATCGGATGAAGGTGCAAGGCACACCGTTTCGAAGCTAACAGATAGGGATACAATGTTGAAGAAGGTCACTCAGTCCAGTTTGCATTGAAACTAGGTCAAAATTGACATATATGAAACCAGAAACTCACAAACAGGTTGGCTAACAGCACAATTGTTAAACAGCAATAATTCAGGCTACCGAAGTCCGATTGAAGTGTATCTTATGGTGATTCGAAGCTAAAACACAACCCTACATTTCTTATGAAGACCTCCATGGCCAAATCATGCATTTTCATGATCTAAAATGGAAAACTACACAAAAACAGAATTCTGGGCGTGAAACAGGTTTCGTGGACAGTCAAGGGTATTTCGGTCATTTCACATGCTACAGTTGTCGTATCAAGCTGAAATTTTGTAGGCTACTATTTTATACCATGGGTTACAACTTTCATGTTTTGGCAAAAATCTAATTCGGTAAGGATCATGGTGAAAAGTCACGGTCAGATTGGGTGAAAAGACAACCCTGTTCACTGAATTCCTACCTAGACCAGTCTGGGTATTTCCATCTTATCTCAGGCTACTGAGCTCGGATTGGGGTGAAAATTTACAGGCAACTAGAAAACATCATTCTCTACAACTTTTATGTTTTGTGTTAAGGCCAATTCGGCCTCTAGCATGCTGAAATAAATTCAGACAGAACAGGCTTGTGTGAAACCCTAACCTGGAAATTTTGCCCCAAACCAGAATTTTTTGTACAATCTATCACATCCAACATATATCAACTTCATTTTACACTATAACTAACCAACAATCCATGACTAACCAACACCAAACATATGAAATCAGAAAAATCAAGCATCAAATAACAATTCATCAATCTCCACCAAAAATCATAAAATCTTCCACTAAAACATCTCTTTAGCCATCACAAGTCATGAATTCACCATTATTGAAAACAAACAATGGATATTTACACACCATACCTTGATAACTCACAAAAGGTAGTAGCTTAGGTCTCTTGCTTCCAAAACAACTCCACCAAAGCCTTTAAATCTCCTTAGTGAGCAAGTTATATGGAGTAGTTGGTACAAACTTTGATTGGAACTCAAGATTCAAGCACAAGTTGAAGTTGGAGTTGAAGGTTTCTCTCTTGTTTTTTCCCTCCCCTAAAATTTCGGCCAAGCTCAAGCAAAATGGAAGAAAATGGAGCCAAGAAGAAGATAAAAAGGAAGGAAAATGTCTTGGTCAAAGGTCTTGGTCAAGACCTTGGTTGGATTTGTGACACATGGCTTAATCCCAAATATGTCCACCAAAATATCTCTCTTTTCCTTAGTCAATAATGGTGGCTGGCTTAAGGATTAATTAAGAGCTAATTAGCTCAACTAAAACAAGGAGATTAAGGTAATAAAGTGGTGGTCAAGTGGTGTACTCACTCGGTAACAAACGGTATCCGTCGGTTCGGGCCGATTTTTCTTCAATCACACGTACTAGGGTTTTTTTTCTTCCTATTCACTAACTTTATATCATTACTTCTAATCACATATTATTTCTCACCTAAAAGTCACTCTTAAGCACCAAATTTGATCCTCACTCCATACCGGATAATTACACTACGGATACACGAAAAATCCTATTTCACTTCGATTTGAAATAGAAAAGGAAAACCCTAATTTCCTATGATCATTGGCATTTTTCTAGGGTGATTGATTAGTAAGATGGTATAGAATAATATTTTCCAAATAATTTTCAAATAAAAGGAAATTTTCAAGAAATATATAAGGAATTTGCAAGTCCTCACATCTTTTCTCCTTGTGAAGCTCAGCCAAGATGATGAAGAATGAAGGTAATTTTGGATCAATTTGGTACTTATTTGGTAAAGGTAGTAAGATAGTCAAATGTCAAAGTCCAACCTTCAATAACAAGGTGACACTTGTCACCCTTTAAGCTTGAGATTATCTTCTTGTCTCTCCAAGACAAATATCTTAACACCTTGTAAAATAATATCACTTAATACAAAATTCCAACAAGTTGTCAAAAATATAATGCATTTACCGCACTTGCGGGTCCCACGTTCAAAATACGCTCTTAATTTCTCAAAAACTAACCGATACTGGAAAAATCATTTTAAAACTATCTTTGCTCATAAACTTTATGTGAGGAATTTTTTCTAATCAAGAAAATGTAGAAAAGGCGGGCGATTAAAAAAATAAACCCTAGAAATTTAGAAAATTTCTGGGTTCTCAAACTCATTTTTTTTTCGGGGCGTCACAATTTTTCTTGCTCACAAAAGTGATACCTTCAAAAATTTTGTTTCCCTATTTGCTAAAGTTTAAAATCTGCTTGGTTTGAATATTATTAAAATTAGAAGTGACAATGGTTCAAAATTTAAATTTTGTGACTTTCCGAAATTTTATGCCACAATGGAATTACACATGAATTTTTAATTGCAAGAACCCCACAACAAAATGGTGTTGTTGAAAGAAAGAATAGAATTCTTCAATAAACCACAAGAACCATGTTAAGTGAATGCAATTTACCAAAATATTTTTTAGTCGAAACCGTAAATACAGCTTGCTATGCAATGAATAGAGTGCTTTTGAGACCAATTTTGAACAAAGTCTCTTATGAGTTAATTTTTGGTAAAAACCCAATTGTTGGATATTTCAAAGTTTTTGGTTGCAAATGTTTTATTTTAAATATCCAGGAACATCTTGAAAATTTTGATAAAAAATCCGATGAAAGTATTTTCTTGGGTTATTGTGAAAACAAAAGAGGATATAGGGTTTATAATAGAAGAACTCTTGTCATAGAAGAAACCATACATGTTACATTTGATAAATCTAATGATGATATTTTCAAGAGTTGTTGTGAAGATGATGATGTAGGTGTTTAAGATGGATTCAAGAAACTCACGATTCACGATCAAGACAATGCTCCATTAGAAGAAAATTCAAAGGAAGATAATCCTCACTGGTTCTTCTCTCACTCCAAAGTGTTAACAACACATGTGCGGGTCCTGGTCCCTTTGTTGGTTCTCCGGTTCATTTGGAAGAGTAGAAACTCAGCAAGATTTGAAGCAGCTTCGGTCACTCCGGCCCAGGTGATCTTCAGGATCGAGAAGTTTTTGGATCAGATGGGTAAGTCTCATGCATTCTCCAGGACCTGCTTTGCAAGTGATCGGGAAAGTCCATAGGCAAGGTTTGGAGGCCCCTGTAGGCGGGATAAAGGTGTTGCCCCTATTACTTGGAAAAAGCCACCGCCGGGGTGGCTCAAGCTTAACACTGATGCCAGGGTCCTACACGGCAGGGTAGCTGGGGAAGGGGTCTTGCGTGACCACTGTGGGAAGGTGTGCTACGACTATTATAAGGAGTTTGGAGAGTTAGATGTATTGGAAGCGGAGGCGCAATCACTCCTGCACGGTCTCCAGTTGTGTGCAGATCGCGAGGTGGGGGCATTGACTGTAGAATCAGACTCTAAGGTGCTTGTTCAACTAGTTTGTTCGGATATGGGGTCGAAGTGGCCGGTGTGTATCGTACTGCAGGAAATCAGACATTTGGGTCTAGCGGATGGGTGCATCCCTTCACCATGTATTTCGTGAGGCCAATTCGGTGGCGGATGCATTGGCTTCTCTGCAATTGGGAGGGCAACAGTACCACATCTTAGACGCGGCCCTGCCTCTCAGGGCTAGAGGAGAGGCACTTCTGGATCGTCACGGAGTACCTCGGCTTCGTGAGGTGCTCATTTAGGGCTTGATTGTCTATGTCCTCGCTTACTCCAGTCTTTGTTCTATTGTTTACTCTTGTAACTCTCCCGTTCGTAAATAAAACTTAGGGTTGGCTAAAAAAAAAAGCCTAGTACAAATCATAGAATACATGATAGATCCTTTTGCTGAAGCGTAAAAAAAAGGAAGATAATCCTCTAGAGAATCAAGCATTTGAAGGAAATGACGAAGATGTTGGTACACCTAGGGATCTTCCAAAAGTTTGAAATTTTGCTCAAAATCATCCCAAGGAACTTATTATTGGTGATCCATCCGAAAAGGTAAGAACTTGTTCCTCATTTAAACAATTAATGGATAACTTTGCCTTAGTCTCGCATTGTGAGCTTAAAAATGTTGTTGATGTTTTGAAAGATGAAAACTGAATTTTTAGCCTTGCAAGAAGAACTAAATCAATTTGAAATAAATAAGATTTGGACACTAGTTGAAAAACCTCAAAATCATCCTATTATTGGTACAAAATGGGTCTTTAGAAATAAAATAAATGACAAAGGTGATGTTATGAGAAATAAGGCAAGACTTGTGGCTAAAGGGTATGCTTAAAAGAAGAAATTAATTTTGATGAAACATTTACTCCCGTAGCTAGACTATAATCAATTAGGATATTTTTGACATTTGCATGTTTCAAGAGTTTTAAATTATTTCAAATGGATGTTAATAGTGCCTTCTTAAATGATTTTATTGATCAAGAGATTTATGTTGACCAACCTCCCGGTTTTGAAAATGAGATATATCCAAATCTTATATTTAAACTTTCAAAAAACTTTGTATGGATTAAAACAATTTCTAAGAGTATGGTATGAACGTTTAAGTGATTTTTTAGTTGAGAATAGTTTTAAAAGGGGTATTGTGGATACCACTCTTTTCACTAAACAAAGTTCCAATGTTCTTCTAATCATACAAATATATGTGGATGATATTATCTTTGGTACTACTAATGAGTGTTTGTGCAAGGATTTTTCCATTATTATGCAAAATGAGTTTAAAATGAGCATGATGGGAGAGTGGAATTTTTTTCTTGGGCTCCAAGTGGTTCAAACCCAAAAAGGTACATTTATCAATCAAGCTAAGTATACAAAGGAACTTCTCAAAAGATTCGAAATGCAGGATTCAAAACATGTTGGAACACCTATGTTTACATCTACCAAACTTGACAAAAGATGAAGAAGGTATGAAAATTGATGAGAAGAAATATAGAGGTATGATTGGTAATTTACTTTTTTAAACCTTAAGTAGACCTGATATTATGTTTGCTGTTTGCTTGTGTGCTCATTCCTAATCTCACTTAATTGCTGTTAAAAAAATCTTTAGATATTATGGTCTTTGGTATCCAAAATGTCATGAATTTGGCTTATGTGATTTTTCGGATGCTGATTTTGGTGGATGTAGGATAGATAGAAAAAGTACTAGTAGTACACGTCACTTTCTTGGTAATTGTTTAGTATCATGGTTTAGCAAGAAACAAAATGCTATCTCTTTATCTACGGTGAAAGCAGAATATGTAGCCTCCAGTGCATGTTATACTCAATTGTTGTGGATGAAAAATACCTTGAATGACTTTGGTCTGGTGTATGACTGTGTGCTTATGTATTGTTATAACCCAAGTGCCATAAATTTGACAAAAAATCCCATTCAACATTTTAGGATAAAGCATATAGACATAAAAGCATCATTTCATTTGTGATCTTGTCTAAAATGGTGAAATTTGTGTACAATATATTTGTTCAAAGGATAAAAAACAAAAAAGCCCCCTGTGGTGAGCCTAATACACAGAAAATCCCCCTATGGTTTCAAAATATACAATACAACACCTCATGTTTTGAACTAAATTATAAAGGTAACGGAATCCGTTAAACTTAATGGAATCTAAAAAAAATTTTTTATGCCTAATTTTTATCAAATATACCTATTCTACCCCTTAACCCTCAATTCTCTCTACTTAGAGAATAAAACAAATGATTTTTTTTAGCTGTCTTTTGCTTAATTATTCAGTACATTTTAGTCATTTTGTCCATTTCCGTTAAGTTTAACGAATTCCGTCACCTTTACAATTTAGTTCAAAGCATGAGGGGTCGTGTTGTATAATTTGAAACCATGGGGGGCTTTTCTGTGTATTAGGTTAACCACAGGGGGCTTTTTTGTTTTTTACCCTTGTTCAAAGATCAAATTACTGATATTCTTACAAAAGTCTTACCTCTGAATCAGTTTACATTTTTGAAAACAAAATTGGGCGTTTTGGAAAAGAATTCCTAAAATTTCTCTGGTCAAGCTTTATTGGACGTCCGATACCAGATGAACGGACGTCCGATACCAGATGAACGGACGTCCGATACCAGATGAACAGACGTCCGACAGTGTTCTGAGCCATTATCCAGAAAAGTTTTGCGTCGGACGGTTGTGTCGGACGAGTCTCTTCGCTCGGCCATCCGACACTCAAAAAGGGCGTGTTATAAAGAAGCTTTCTCTTTCATTTAGTTCAAATGCAACCGTTGTCTTGGACGCACCGCTTCACTTTCCTCCACTTTTAAAAATTCAAATTCGTTTCTTCTCAGAACATATTTCAAGAAATTGACTTCACAAATGACATCACTGCCTCTTTGCAAACTGATCACCATTCAAACTCTTTTCTAACTATCAAAAACTAGACTGATCCCACATTTCTTCAGAAACCCTAACTTCACAAAACTCACCCACTCTTGACAGATTCAGCAATCATTCTAGTCTAAATAGCCATATTAGTCCATCTCATCTGCATTCTTATCATATTCTCCAAGAAAATTATCCCACATTTCATCATGGTTCGATTGCAAGGAGGACCTTCTGGCACCAAACGCACAACTAAACTTAGAAATGAAGAAACTGTGGTGCCATCACCAAGCAAATCGACTCGTGGGTCTACAAAACGCATTGAAAAAAGAAAATGAACTGACTAGACTAAGCAACAGCCCACCACATTGCCCAGATTCATTAATGATAATGTCAAAGACATGTTTGAATGGATTTCACAGAACCATCATTCCCTCTGAATTTCGTAAGCTTGATCTAAAGCCAGTTCTTAAGCTTTTTGAATTCCAAAAATGGTTTCACATTCTGTCGATGCCCAACACATATTACCATGAAATGCTTTATCAGTTCTTTGTAATCTTAGGAAAGGCAGTTCCTATACTGAAATTGTCTCTCGTGTTAATGGCATTAACATTCTTCTTACTCCTGATGTTGTCAATCTAGGTTTGAAAACCAAAATTGAAGATGGCTGTAGGAGTAAAATTGCAAACTTTTTATCTTATGAAGAATATCCAACTACTTATTACCTTTTTATATCTTGAAAAACTAATGGCCTACTTTCAAAATCACTTTAACACACTTGTTGAGGTCAAATTGGAGGATCTCAATCCTCAAAATCTGATCATTTTCACAATCATTTAAAACTTGTTGGTTCTGTAGACACCAAATTTTTAGCGTAATTTCATTTACTATTTATTTTTATTTTTTATTTACTTTTAGTCTTTTAGTTTTTATTTTAAGCCATTTTAGCGTAGAAAAAAGAAAAAAAAAGGAAAAGAAAAGCATTCACAAAAATATGCTTTAGTTATTTTAGATTTAAATTCATTGTTATTTAATTAAAAAATTATTATTAATTAGCACTTCATTTTTATCTTTTTATGCCTAGTTTCGCTCATTTTATTCAATCTTTCTTAATTAGTTATTTTTCTTTATATTTTTTTATTATTAATTAAAAAAAAAGAGAAAATGAATGATGAAAATGAAAAAAAAAAAAAAAAGCTTCCGCGGTTTCTTGCATTTTGTCTATTAAAAGCCATGATCAATGGCTAGGAGCGGGGCTGGGGCGTTGGAATCATTTGGAGCCATCAAGATGAACTTTGAGGGTTTTAGGAACCTGGGGGTCCCATATAAAAGGAAGGAGGACGGCTAGAAAGAGGGGAGAGGATACTTGACGGCTGGTTGAGAGAGAGGCGGCTAGGGTTTAGAGGGAGCTAAGAAAGCTAGCCAAAGGGAGGAAAAAAGAGAGGTCCTGGCGGCTGGAGTTTGAGAGAGAACCAGAAACGGGGGTTTTTTGGGAGTGAGCTAAGGGTGAGTACGTGACGGCAGGGAGCTGAGGAAAACCAGGGGAGAGGAAGAGAAAACAAGAAGAAAGCTTCGAGCTTGGGAGGCACTGAAAAAGGCGAGGCAAACACAAGAGGATCTGGTGGCAAAAAAGCTACGGGCTTTCGACGGAAGAAAACGAGAAAACTTCAGTGAGAGAAAAGAAATCAGAGGGAGGAAGGAGAGAGCTTTGGGGGTGGCTAGGTTTCACGTAAGAGAGGAAACAAGGGCTGGAAGGGAGAGCCTAGGCGAGGGAGAAGAAGGCTACGAACAAACTGAAAAGAAATGAAAAGCTGCAATTTTTCCGACCAAAGGCTGATTATAAGCCATGTTTCAGATTAAATTTCTCTTTGATCTTTGGTTGTTTTACGTAAATCTCAAGTTCTGCACTAACTAGGAAGTAAGGGGAGAAGGTTTCGTCTAGAAATTGTTGGCAGAAAACATCGAATGAACCTTTGAATTTGCCCCCAAAGATCGCTGCTTGATTTCGCTGGTGCGGTTTCGGAGCCGTAACGGGACAGCTTCTGCCGCTCTTTCACGGTGTTTCCCGTCCGGATTTCGAATCAAAAGCTACATCAGGTACTCCTCTCAACTGATGTCTTAGTTCCTTTCATCTTCATTTATTCTTGGGTCGTGATTTTGAGTTGTTTGTCCGTTCGCTCTTCCGTTTCTATTCCGAAATAGCTGGATGAGCATTCCTCCATGTTTCATCCATGTTGTGATCTCTTTGTTAATGTCCATTGCATGTTGGAAGTCAGCCTTTTCAGTCCCATATTTACTTGACGAGTTGTATCGAAGCAGATTAACATAGGAATTATGGAGTTGATATGGCAATTCATGAGCTGATGTCCATTTTGCTGCTCT